AAGCAGAACTGTTTTCTACTGGATTTTTCATTAACAGCAAGCTTTTTCTTTTATGTAAAATAAATCTATTGTGAATTGATATCAGTGACTCATTTATTAGGTATAATTAATAGCCAAAGAATAAAATTAAAATTTATTTTAAACTTTCGGTCTTAAAAAGAGCTGTAGGATATAAACCTCTTTTGTGAAAAGTAGAATTTTCTGAATACTTTCATACACAAAAACGCAGTTATACTATGTTTACCTGGTTTTCCAGCAGAAATCAAATAATCAATACTATGTTTTGATGGGTTATTTTGAGAGTTGTTTGGTTTTTTAAACACTACAGAATGGTTTCTTTTAAATTTAAGAACAACTAGTTCTTGAAAAGCAATACCATATTTCTCAGATAAATTTGTTGTTAAGGTTCTAGAAAGTCTGGGACAAATTTACTTCATTAAACAAAGTTTTTAAGATTATTCAATTGGCACAATTTAATGCATAATCGGGATTGGATCCATTAACATACTGTGGTACAGTAAAGACAATTTGTTCTTATTGAACAACAAATTTGTATAAAAATATGGAATGATGCAACTACATTATAAATTGTATACGAACAAAATAAATTTTGGGTCACTCTGAGCTTACTATTAAAACATTGAAAACTTATTAATGAACACAGGCTATCTTGATGAGGATCTCTGGTTATGAAACACATACTAATGAAATTATTAGTGACACATTGGAAGCTAGAAAATTGCTGTTTGGGCCATTGCTATAAATCAGCAAATTGGCAGATTTTTTCCATGGTAAGATTTCTGTTCTCATTCATTCATTCAACAAACATTTGTTGAGGGCCAGATACTGTGCTGGTCAACTGGGGATATTATCCTGAACAATATGCACACAATTCTTGCCCCCGCAGAGCTTAAAGACCATTAAAGGATACAGAAACTTAAACAAGCAATTGTCCTATAATAGGATTAGTGTTGTGATGGGGAAGATACAGGGTACTGTATTTGGGAGTCACATAACTCCAATTTTGGGAGTGGGAGATGGTTTGGGGAAGAACTGTTCCAGATAAAGAGATGTGTAACCAAGACAGCATAGCACATTCTGTCAACTAAAGTAATTTACTCTAACTTAAGCATGAAGTACAGAAGTATAGTTCGTTTATTGAGGGAATGTTAAGCTATTAAAATGATACTTTTTGGTACTTTAAAAAAAATGAACACTTAAAACACCATTTTAAAATTTTGTGTTAAGAGCTCCTAATAAGAGCTTGATAAACATGTTGACAATTTAACTCACAGTCTCAACTTTAAAAGTAGTTGTTACCCTTTTATTTCTGTGTCATGAGACGAATTCTTCTGCAGCAGTGTTATAGTTGTACAAGATGTTTTGACTCACTCTGAATTGCCATATTCTTAAACCCTCAAAAGCTGCTCAAGCTGGTCAGTTTTCTATAAAACCAAGTAAATGAAATTTTCTCTCCCTTGAGAAAGGAAGTTCTGCAGCCTAGAGTACCATCTATTATGTTCTATAAGTCCAGATTTAGGCTTTGAAAGATCATACCAAAACTTCAGGTTGACTTAAACACAGCAAATGTAAATTAGGTTTATGGGAAATATAGGAATACAGGGGAAAGAATATCGGTAATGGAGTGAAATGGTCCTGGGTTCAAATCCAGTCTTCCTCACATACTGTGCTTTTTAAGCTTCAACTCAGATGTGTAACTGCCTTTTCCTTACCAGTAAAATGAGGACAATAATTATGACATCCTAGAGTGGTTGTGAAGATTAAATAGCAAATGTTATCTTGTATTTCAGGTGCTTTTTAGGGAAAAGTCTTGGCACATAGTAAACACATCCTGTAAATACCAGTTTCCCCTTGTTAGCCGCTGTGGCACTCTGACCTACCAAGTTTATAGGTCTTGCACATCTCTGTGTACCGGAGATACCTCTTTTACATCTGGGCTCTGTTTACTCTCTCTCAGTCCTATCCTCCACCCTCTTTAAATCAGACCCCAAGTTTAACCTTCCCACAGTCAGTATAAATCATTTTTCAGAACTTTCAGCTTTCCATCAAGTGAAAGTTGATTTTAATTACCCAGTAATGTACAGAAGCCCTCAATAATGTTAAGCTTCAAAGGCTTCTGGTACATTTGTCTACCACAGAACCACCACAATATATGTGCTTGTTCTTAGGTTTATTGCTTTTTATTTTAATGGGGTTTGGTTGTTTGGGTTTTATTTTGGTTTTGGCTTAAAGTCAAGTTTAGTTTTTACTCAAGTAAAGGCCTGTGAAGTTTCTTAGGCGTGGAAGAAAAAGCTTGGAAAGCCTATTAATTCATGGTGCAATTCAGAATTGTTTAAGTTCTGTGCCACTGAGCTTAATCTAAAAGTATAGTGACATGTAAAGCATGCACATATGAATGAAAAACTAAAATAATTGTAGGCTCTTCTACAAATGGAAAAAAAAGTGATTGGATTGTGTCTACCTTTTTCCTCAAAGTAATCTAACCTAAAAGGTCATGGTGTTAAAACTTTTTATGGTGCTAATCAGAAAAGTTCATGTTGCAAGAAATCGGGTCTCAAAAATGGGAATGTGCCTCCTCACTCTGCGTCACATGGGAAATAAATCCTGAGGCCAGGATCACCAGTAGGGTAGAGCCATCTTCGTAGTCTCTTGGTATCCTCCCCCTGAACAAAGAACAAAGTGAGACTGGGAAGCTAGTGTTGGGAAAACATTTCTGTGGTAAATTGTGGAGTAGAGAAGACAATGGAGGGCAAGGCAAAAACCCACAGACTTGTTTACCGATAGAGGCCCCACTCACCTCCATGCTGACAGAATGCCGGAAAAATTCCTTCCCTATATCCCAAACACCTGAAATTTTGAAATATTGCCCTACTATATAGCACTTTAAGCCTCGATGAGGTGCCGTAATGGAGAGAGAGCTTCATAGCTTAGCCTACAGCCAACTTTACCTCAGGACCTCTGGATAAGATGAAGTGGCTTTTACCTCATGTGAGTCTCAAATGCTTTTACCTCATGTGAGTCTCAAATGGTTCCACAACCACCCGTGCCTTTTCTCCCATATTATGCTCATTAGAAAGTCTACTCAGGGCTGGGTGCAGTGGTTCATGCCTGTAATCCCAGCACTTTGGAGGCTGAGGCGAGTGGATCACCTGAGGTCAAGAGTTCGAGACCAGCCTGGCCAACATGGGGAAACCCTGTCTCTACTAAAAATACAAAAATTAGCCAGGCGTGGTGGCATGCACCTGTAATTCCAGCTACTCGGGAGGCTGAAGCAGGAGAATCATTCGAACCCCAGAGGCAGAGGCTGCAGTGAGCCAAGATTGTGCCACTGTACTCCAACCTGGGCGATAGAGTAAGACTGTCTCAAGGGAAAACTAAAAAGAAAAAAAGTCTACTCAATAGAGCAGTGATTCGCAAAGTGCGAGACCCCGGACCGGCACTATTGGCATCTCCTGGAGACTTGTTTAAAATGCTAATTATTATTTTCAAGAACTTTCTACCTTCATTTGTACTTATTTTTTGTTTTCAAGGGTTCATAGAATTAGTCTTCCATGTGACAGCTTTTTAAATATTTTAAGACAAAAACTGAGTCTTCTAATCTTAATTGTGTTCTAGCAGTAGTCACTGTAATTATAGTTATTTTTATAATTTATTTTTTAGTGTATATCTATCACTCTGGAATGTAGGTTCCCTGAGATAAAAACTATAATTCTTTTTATGCCAGTTACATTCCCAACTCTTAGCACAAGACCTAGGACATAGTATGAACTCAATAAATATTTGTTGAATGAAAGAAAAATGCAAATTTTTAAGCCTTTTCAGAGACCTACTGAATCAAACTCTGAGAGTGGAGCCCAGCAATCTGTTGTAAAAGCTATTTGAGTAATACTGTTGCACTCTAAAGCTTGAGAACCACTGCAATAGAACTAAGAGAACATGCATTTCACCTTTAGGCCTATTCTCTGACATCACTTGAAAAATCCGCTCTGCCTTCTGTAACTGTTACCAACAACATTGTCCTGTCCATGTAGGGGAAACTTCTGGGCTATATTACAAGTGGGTATGAAGGTATAAGGATATACATAGTGGGAAGTATTGCTTAGAATGCCAGTACTTGTTTGCTGTGGAAGGTTTCTAGGAATGGATTGCTTAATCTAAGCACTACCACCGTCCACGTTTTCACTTAACACAGTGCCTTTTAATTGGTGACTAACATCAAAACACCTTAACAAACCATTAAAACAGTATCAGAAACCACGTGTACATCCCTGTGCCTCTTAGATTGCTAAGTTCTGCTCTCGTTCTTACTTCAAAGGACACTTTTTAAAGAATTGTTAATGCTTTTTTATAATACAAGTCATAGCCATGTTGGCAAAAAGAAGATAGATTTGGTGAGAAAGAAAAATCACTGAAAATTCCATCATCCAGGGAGAACCACTGTTATTTAAGTATATGACCTTCCAGACTTTTCTGTGCATTTATAGATTTTTTTAATGGGATCAAAGTGTACATACTGTTTTGTAACTTTTTTTCACTCAACAATACCATGACTGTCTTGCTGTATCAAGTATATTTCTACATCTCTTAATGGCTGCATGATATTCCATCGTATGTGCCACATTTTATTAAACTACTGTTGAATTTTTAGGTTTCCAACTTTCATTAATAAAGTGCTTTAAAGAACATTGTCTTGATAAATCTCGTATGTGTTCATATTTTCTGAAGATAAATACTTTGAAGTGGAATTGCTAGTGAAGAGGGTATGCCAGTTTTTAAAAGCTTTTGTTACTGCCATGTTGCCCCCTAGAAAACTTTAAGCAATTTATACTTTTATCAGCAGTATGTGAGAGAATACGGTTTCTTTTGGAGGGCTTCCAACTAGAATGTTCTTGGAGTCTTTGGTTTAAAAATAAAGGGTAAGAGGGAGATTCAAAGATCCTGCAAAATTAAAAGACCAGTCTTAAATTTTTCTTAAATTATGATATTTACTGTTCTTCTCTCTTTATCATATATTTTGTGTTACTTTGGAAATGTTTGTAGTACTAGTTGCCTCTTGCTTTTATTCAGTCTCCTGGAAGCATTATTACCTTTCTGATGCTTGCAGAGACAGTAGAAGAACAATCTTAAGTAGACTTGAATCTTGAAGTATCTTTAATGCAGGTTTACTGTTTATGGATTTAGGGAATGTAGCCCTAGTGGGGAAAGTAGGATTTTGGAAGGTAGGCAGAACAGTGGCTCTCCCACTTGTTTGCCTGGCCTTTTGTGAGTCATTAAACCTCTCCCACTTTGAGCCTGCTTACTCATCTCTAGAATGAGAATAATATAAACCTACCTTGTAGCATTGAAAGGATTAACCACTCGTGGCTGGCACCTAGTGGATGATAATATAGCTTACTAGGATTTATAGATAAGTATGTTAGAGCAGTTGCTATTGTCAACCTCTGGAGTAAATATCACTGCCATTTTCAAAGAAAATCTTCCTTGAAAGCTGTCACAGTGAATGGGCATTGTCTTGTATGTCCTTATACCTACACAATCCTCATTCTTAGGGAATCCGGCTCATTTTTTCCAGTCAGGTATTCAAGTAATCTAACCGATAAAACTCTCAGACAAGATGTATAGTGGAAGATTTCAACATTACCATGCTTAACAACAGTATACGAAAGTGGTAATCAGTCTTTTTAAGTGGTGAGCCTTGCCAAACTGCCCCTTCTGATACTCCCCCACCCTTGGCCCACAGCTGATCTTAGTGCTTCCGGGGGCTGTACCTCTACGTGAGAGCCTCACACAGGACAGGCGACTCAGCTCAGTAACGGTATTATTAATTAGCTAAGTCTCAGTCGCATCTCCAGGACTGGAGCTCACAGAATTGATTCATCTATAGTGAGGGAAATTTATTTAAAGAAGTATCTGAATTATAAAAGTTGCTTAGCAGTATTCAAAAAGATGGATGAACCAGGGTTGAACTGCAGTAATCATAGCAAAACCCCAGGGACCAACCCATTTTAATACTTGAATGAACCATAATACATTTAAATTAACATCTGTTGATTATAACTCAAACTACTCAACCAATAAAGAATTAGTAGTAAGGTAACTTAAGGGGGTTGTCAGTAAGGAAGGCTATACAGGAGGCTTCAGGCTTACGAAACAAGATGAACAACTAATGGGAGGTGAGAAGAGATGGACTACCATTATAAACAACTCTTCAGAGTCTGATGCACCAGGGTTTGGGACACATGTTTCTGCTTAGTCTCATGTTCTAGTAAAGTTCTCTGAAGCTTGACCTTAGTAGGCAGTTCCCAACAACCAGGCATTTTGACACCTGCTTGCCTTTTCTATATAGTTTATTGTGTTCAGCTTCACCTGAAGATCCTCATTTGTGAAGAATAAACTCAAACACTCATTCCTCTATGAAGAGATTCTGGATTCTGCAGGCAGAATTGCATACACACACACAACTATGACATGCATTGCCTTAGATCACAATTACTTGCCAACTTAGTTCCAGAACAGGATTTTGTGTCCCCTGACTCCTAGCACACCTAAAGCTGAGTTTTGGCAAGCCCATAGCTTGCTTACAGCGTTGTGTTTACAAAAAAATCAATGATTCAGATTTGGTGCTATTATGTGTATTTGCCCTAAGAAACATTGGCTCTTTCGGACATCAGTATTACAGAAAGCACATATCTACTTTGCTTGGAGAGTAATCCCCACAATCTATCATCATGGTTATCACCTCATTGGCTCTGGTTAATTCTACAGTGCTCATCACTGACTCGTACTTTGCAAAACAATAATTTGTTACAGCTTGGACTTTTGCTGGCCACATCTATACTTCAGATTTAGGGTCAGTCACCTCAAGGTTGGATTGGGATATTTCCATTGTTGAGCTTTTCTATATAGATGTCTTCTGTAAAACGGGCTAAATTGCCTTCCTTTCTCCTTTTCTTGCCTCTTTTCCACCTTGCCTTTTTCCCATTTCTATACATTCTCCCTCTCCCTTCTTTCAAAAAATTTGCATGAGAAAATGTATAATAGAAGATCTTGCTCAATTGATATTTGTGAATGACAACTCTGACCCAGATTTCTGAGAACCAAAGAAGGATGTATGATCCGGCTTCAGATTGACTGTTCGCATATAGAAACACGCTGGTTGCTCAGGAGACAGCTACTCATAAAGAAGTACTCATCAAGAGAGCACTGAGACACCAACACCAAAGCAGAGTTAAGAGGCCAGAGTGCTGGCACTGATTCATGGATTAAATCTTATATGGCTGCTGCATTGAAGTTTTCATCAAACTGAGAGTATAAATAGGCACAAAATTACTCACATTGACGCCCGGAAACACAATGTCGCTGACGCTTGTCCTGTCAGATCATCAGCAAGTGAAGGATTCCCCTCCCCTGCGTATGTTTTAGAATCTCCAGAGACACATCCACAAGTCAATCCTCTTCTTTCTAGCTGCTAGTAAAGAAGGGCCTTCTATCCCAGCTCATACTCCTAACCTAATTGCCTCAAAAACTTTCTGCGGTCACTGCCAGTGAATCAGGTTTAGTTGGTAAAATTGGAAGGTCACCACTGGCATCTGATAGAGCATTCTACAGAAGTGGGTATGGAATGCTGTTTTAATTCATATAGTTTCACTGGAGGCAATAAGGTTGCTCATCAAGATTCAAAATCTTACCTCAGTTACATGTCAAGAGTTTTCCTCACTGATACAACAGGGGCCCACTGCCTAGGCAACCACGCGATGACAAGTATGTTACCCAGACGTGCTTCTTGCTGACTTCTAACCCGCCCCCTTCTTCAATGCTACCTATAGCCCACAGTGCTTGGCTCACTGCTGCCTCAAACAGAAAGTCAGAGCTCTGTGGCATGATGAGAGCCGTTTCTTCCCTATTAACGCTCAATTGCAGACTTCCCAGAAAGCACAGCTCTCTTAAGGGCAAGGGCTCTTTAAATTTACACACACAGAGCCAATTCTCCCAGGAGAAAGCCCTCACCAGATTGTGTGGTGAAGATAAATTCCACTGCTGGACACTTTGCAGTCCCGGAACCAAGGCTCCCCTTTGTCCCATAGCTCCCCTTGGTGTCAGGGAGCTGCTCACCTGCCTATTTCTACCTTCATGATAAAGTCCCTTTTAAGGGCTGTGTTACTTTATCCCACACTCTGGCATTGATTAGTACTATCTCATGACATCTATATGCTTTAATATATTTGGAGCCCAGTGTTAGGAGTAATAGAGTCCTACTCTATTCCTAAGCTATAAAATGTTACTATTACTATTCTGCCCAGAATGTTTTATTGCAAAACCACCTAGCACAGAAATTGACTATAGACTTTGGAATCAAAGAAGCAAATTTTCAAATCTCAACTCTACCACCTTATTAGCTGTGTGTTCAGTAAGTGATACAACCTTAACCTGTTTCTTCATCTGCAAAATACAGATCAAAATGCTTACCTCCTGGGTTTGTAGCAAACAGTACTTCTCAGACCAGCAGCATCAGCATCACCTAGAAATTTATTAGACATGCACTCTCAGGCAGCTACTGAATCAGAAACCCTAAGGATGGGGCAAAGCAATTTGTGTTTTAACAAGCCCTCTTGTGATTTGATGCATGCAAAGTTGGTGAAACACCAGTTGCGAGGATTAAAAGAAATAATGCACATAAGGGCTGGACTCAGTAACTGGCATATAGTAAATACTTAACAATTTCTAACTATTATTATTGTCACTATTAGAATTTCTAAAGTAATGAATGAACTACACACTTTTCGGGCAAAGTTTCATATATATTTCTCATAACAAAGCTTTTCATAGACGTTTGGCAGCTGAAGGCTGGAGGCTAAGATCTCAAGAATATGGAGTACAAATCCTTATACTTTAACCAATCATGTAGAAAATGAGTTTAAATTCTTTTCACCAAAAAGTAACTGAAATCTATATAGAAAGTCACTGCACCTCTGCAAAAAGAAAAAAAAAAAACAGTACTTGGAGAAAGGGTCAAGATTTTTCTCAGAAAACAGTCAGGGTCTGCTTCTACACATGGAAAAATGGGACAATTGAAGCTTCAATAATGGAGCTGCCAGCCCCATTATTGCCACAACTATTGCCACATCATAGAATATCACCATGATCATATTCACCCGAAGTTTTTCAAAGCATATGCTTCCAATTGCATTGTGTGACTATAAAACAATTTCTATCATACACTCAATAAAATGACCAGCTTCATTTCATGTAACTTCCTGATGAATGCCTCAAGATAAATTTGTTTTATAATAACCCTAGGAAACTAAATGAATTTACCTTCTACCCAGGCTGTTTGAATGTAAATCAATTACATGTCACAGAAGACTGAAATGACTGTGGTTTTAGAATCGTCCATGAGCCATTCTTTCTGAGAGCATTTACACAGCAAGTCCAGTAGAAATTAAATTTGTGGTTGTGTACCTTCAGGCAAATTATTCACTTAATTTCTCAGCCCCACAGATTTTTGTATCTGTAAAATAGAAGGATTGAACCAGATGATCTCTAAGATCCATCCAGCTCTTGCATTACCATGTTCTAAACAAGCCAAAGTTGTTCATGTTTTAATTAACTGTGAATTAACTTGAACAGCCTGCACAGTTTTACTGGCAGCTCGTTGATGGGGTTGTTTTCTTTATATTTTAGAGTATAAAGCTCTTCAGTCTGAACTTTCTAGAAAAGGCTGAATAACACTTTGTGAGAAATTCTTTAGAAATCCCTCTCTACCTGGGCTGACTTAGACCTCAAAAGGACGAACTTTGTGCTCAGACGTTCTAGTGGATTCTAATGAGTATATATGAACAGTGGCACTCACAGTCTTAGGCATCATTGGGCTTTCACATCCTCTTGGAAAAAGCTGCTAACACTTATTGAGCACTTTACGTGCTTTACCTTCTTGAAACCTGTCAAGAAAGTATATTTTCCCCATTCTACAGACAAGAAAACAAAATTTAGACAGCCGCACAGCTAGAGAAATGGCAAAGAAGTCTCATTGCTTGCCTTCCCAACTCCAAAGCCCAAGCTCTTAATCAGTGTGGAACACAGACACCTATTTTTGGAGTGTGCCGCCTAAATATGGTCAATGGCCCATTATTTTCTGCACTCTTCCCAGGTTAGTAACTTTCCTTGGGGCAGAAAAAGTATTGCTCTTAACATAAAGTAGCTATAAACTGCTGCTTAACCAACTAAAGAAACCTACAAAGGTCGTCAAGCCAAGCAGGGAGCTGCCAGTCCCATCACTGCCACAGCTGAAAGTGCAGAGAAATCAGTGTTGGTTTAAGTCAGAACTTCTCAAAATGCAGGCCCCAGAATCTGTCAGGGGTGGACTCTGACATCCTGTCGTTCAATAAGCTCTCCAGGTGATTCTGATGCACATGTTTGAGAGTCACTTGTTTACATATAGCAGAGAAGCCACCTGTCTCTCACCTCAAAGCTGACTCACCTGCAGAAACAATGAAAGAGGGTAATGACAGGCCCCCCAAAATTACTCCAAGCTATCAAATTAAACTAAAACGTAATATCATTTAACTGACTCTATGCAATAAATAGAGCATTCATTAATGAGTAATTTGGTAAGCACGTGAGCATGCTCAGGATGTAATTTTTCCAGGAACAGGGAAAAGAGCCCATGGATTGGAAGTTTATTTTGAAATTCAGCTGTAAGGGAATATGTTCTACGTATCTTTCTTTTATCAAGGTAAGAAAGTGATATAATTTTATTGTTTCTTTCTAGCCAGTGTCTCAGTTTTTCCACTGAGGAGTTTATATACCCTATTCGGCAGGACAAGAGCACATTATTTTAAAAAATAGACGCCAATCATTGGCATTTACCACATGCCAGTCACTGTGTGGGGTGATTTACACATTCTCTAATTTCATTCTTGCAACAATGCTATGAGGTAGAGATTGTCCTTCCTCTGCAGATGAGAAAACCAAAGTTTACATAGAGACATTAAGCGTAAATCTGCTGAGCTCATTTCAAGGCTCCTCAGTCTCTAGAGAAAATAGATTTCCTGAGTTACATCTCCCTTTTCTTTTTTCTCTTGATACTAATGCATCATTCCTTTACCCCAAGACTGTCAGGCACAGGAAGCCAGCACTCTAGACCTCCCTTCATGGCCCATTCCCACTTTTCCTTTGACTCCCAGCATGATGCCCACTCTAGCTAATTTTAAGACCATTTTCTGCAAACTTGAGCTCCCCAACACCCAGATAGCTGAGCTAGGTGGGCTGCTGAGACTAAAGGATCTATGGGGCCTGGGGAAAAAGAATGCCCTGGAGGGAAAAGAAGAAGAGCAGCAGGTAGCAGAAGGCATGGTTTGGATGGGGGAATTGTGTCAACAGTGATACTGACCATGAACACACTGAACCACCAGCAAAGAGAATGGCTGATAATATGACTGTTCAATGGAGGAACTAAGGAAAATATGGTCATATTTGTAAATAGTTTATCAATTTTGTTTCACTGCCATACAGCACAACAACTAGGGTGCATATTATTAAATGGGTTGGATTAACTTTCTGGGTTTGGATTATTTTGCTGGAATAGTGACTTCTTTATTACTGTGACAATGCTATACTATAGAGTTTACTGACACACAGCACAACTATCTGTTCACTACTTCAGAATTGGAGAGATCACTGGTCATATCTATATTTCCCTAATTTGGAGAACACATATCCACCAATGGTGCATACATTCCAATGCAAAATGCAAAAACAATGATCTGAGTTTGGTAATAAACCCAGAAACTTGTTAAGCTCTTATCAGTCATGTGTCTATATTAAAAACCACCTGGCTGCAGTTGAAAGATCACCTTCTATTTTCAGTCATTCGCTATATTTGTGGTAGCTTCACATCACTGATCACAGGGACTACAGTAATGGGCAGGGTGGCTGAGCAGGGATTCCTTTGCCTGTCTTCCCCAGTCCGTTCCCCAGTTTCTCTCTCCCAAAAGTCCTATCAGCAGAGACCTTGCAACCTGAGGCAAAAAGTGAAAGAATAAAAGCTGCAGTAACTTAAGTACTTGCTGCATATCAGACACTGTGCTTAAAATGATTTACATTCATTATCTCATTTTAACAACCTGAGAGTTGGGTACGACTCTTATCTGTGTTTTACAAAAGCGGAAGTGAAGGCTCTTAAATCACATAGCCTGGTAGAGTGGTAGAGCCTGGGCTTTGACCCAGGCCTCCCTAATTCCAAAAGACTTGCTCTCAGTATCTACAGAGGACTCCCCAGTGCACTATTATACCACTTAACTTGGCCAATGGCCAGTGTTTAAAATGGATAGGAGCAGAGACTTAGCCTTTCTGTAACCAAGGTAGAGTACAGCCTCTGAAATACAGCTGAGCAAACAACTCAAGCACAGTATGGTGTTCCTGCCCAGTGGGTGCTATTCCAGGAACTGATATCCCTTCCTTCATGTTCCTTAAACCCATGTGGCACCCACTATTATGGTATTGACAATGGGCTAAGAAGCCCCTTCTCAGTGTAAGCAGGGACTCTTTCTAACCTCATCCCTGGTATAGGAAATGAGCACCTCTTCTGTTCTGTCTCCAGTCTACTCAGCTCTATCAGTAACTTGTCCAAAGGTTCTTTTGAAAGTCAGCTGATTGGAACACAGAGTACATTTTATATAATACAAATGGTGATGAGGCTCTTAGGTCAGTGCACCAAAGCCTACTTAATCTGTAATGTGCCGGAAAATTGATGGTGCAGCCGAACCCAGAACAGTGCAGAGTTGTTGAAGACCCCTAAATTTCTCCAAGCCCAGGCTTTTCTATGATCCTCTAGTTCCAGGGCAGTAACCAACATGTAGTAGGACATAATAATAGCTCATGTTTTCTGAGCACTTACCATGTGACTGATGGCGCTGTACACGCATGATCTCACTGGACCCCGACAGCAGCTCTAGGCAGTAAGCACAATTGTTAGCCTCAAGTAACTGAGGCGTAGAGAAGTTAAGTGACTTCCCAAGGTCACAGAGTTGATAAGTGATAGAAGCAGGATTAGAACCCAGGCAGTCTGGATCCAAAGTCAGTGTGACCAACCGCCCGTGGACCTTTAGTTGCCTGAAAACTGGGAAGAGGACCCGAGGCTGGGCAGAGGCTCTGCTGTGTAGGCAGCTCCCACAATGCACACATGGAAATCACACACACAAGCAGGTAGGGAGTGGGCTGGACAGGAGCTCTGGTGAATCCCTCCACCAAGGTGAAGGAGAGTATGACAGAGACATCCACACATGCTTCAGTGCCTCTAGAAGAGGAAGAGGTCTGTGAACAGGAAGGTGTGTCCATGGGGTGGGCCAGGGAGATGACAGGAGAACAAACAGCTTGCTCCTTCTCCACAGTTTCTACTGCTGCTCTGAGGCATGACCTTGGGCAAGTTCGTCCCCTTCCTCTTAAAGGGAGGGCCATAATAGTTCCCAACTCTAGAGTCTTTGTGGGGATTGAGTGAAATAATTCACTTTGCATGGTGCCTGGTGCCCACTCACTGAGAACATCCTCTTGTGATTAGGACCATTATCATTACACCACAATGTCATCTGACTCTGAACACAGCCAAAGCCCACGAAAAAGCCCTTCGCAATTGGCCTTGCTAAGACAGGCTTGAGGGGAAGGAGGTTTCCCGCCTACACTAGGATGCGGGGTTGAACGGCAGCCAAGGGAGCCCTCCTCCCTTGCCTGGGGAAAGTTCCAGTCTCCTTTCCCCACCAAGCCCTTACTAGCACCACCAACAAGATGCATAATGAACTGGCTTGAGTCCCACCTCTTCATTTCCACTTCTCTACTCTCAGCAGCTAGGGCTAAGAAACTGTGAAATGAAGGAATGCCCATTGGCAAGAGGAAAGTGGTTGCCAAGTCAAGCAGGCCCTGAATAGTCAGCCTGGAGAACTGGCCATAATTTACTATAAAACAGTCTCTCCTGGTGATGAGGGGTGGGGCAAGAACAGAGGAGAGAAAACAGATGCCCCTTGAAGTTTTTCACCAAAAATCTAATGAGCCATGACTTATGAATGCGATGGTGTTTTGCAATCCACACTGCAGTTCTTCATGATGTCTAGGTCCAGAGCCAGTTCTCTTCTGAGAGGAGGGTTGCTATCTTTACCACCACTGGCAAAACAAAAACAAACAAAACTAAAGGCAAGATGGTTGGGTCCTAAACTTAACATTTGGTTTCCCCATTTCTGTTATATACTAGCTGAGGAGGCTTTTGGAAGACCCAACAAAGACATTATATGTAAATCAACAACAATTTTCATTTTATGTTCAAACCATGAACACTGACTAGCTAATTTTCATGGCATCCCTATAAGTGACTTTTATGATCCTGTTCCAGTTCAATTCTTCAATACCGTAATAGCTTAGATGATTTAATGTATTTCCATAAAATGATTTTTGCCAGCACCTTACATTTTCATCAGATTTTCTTGTCGTAGCTGGATACGGCTGGCACAGAGAGTTAAGTGTTGTGAAATGGAGCAGACAGACAAGGATGGAGACTCAAACAAGGCATTGGCATGGGCCAACGTGGAGGGCTGCAGGGAGCAGGCAAGGGGGCATGACCCAGCTAGAAGTGCCTGGGAGAACAGCCTGGTGGTTGTCAGCACAATCTACAAAAGCAATAGCATAGATTAAAAAGCAGGAGCCCAGGCAAAGGTCTTAACAGTTGAGGACATAGGACATGTGACCGCTGTAGAGGATTGTTCCCAAAAAGTGGGTAGACATACCCCTTACTCTTACCTCTATGAGAGGAGTGTCCTCGACTACCCCGTTGATGATGGGCTCTGCCACGTGCCTGCCTTGGTCCTATGGGATGTTAGTAGGCATGATAGGCAGAGGCCTGTGATATGTTTGCGCAGTTGGGCTTGCCCTCTTGGACTTCCGCCAGCACCATGAGAAATGTCTGCCCTGGTAGCACTAGTTCAAACAGGATGAGAGACCTGTGGAGCAGACCTGGACCACACCCGCAGCTTAGAGCAAGCCAAGGTAAACACATTTATCAAGCATATTACTAATGCCTTCTCATCCTTCTAGTCGTAACTTACATGTCACTGTCTCAGAGGTCCCTGTCTGACTCTCCTCCAGGCTAAATTATGCCCCGGTGTTAATTGTGTTTCAACGAAAGAAAAGAATTAATTAGGAAGAATTATTTGCTTATATGTTTGTTTCTTCCATTAAATTACATTCCTTGAAAGCAAGGAGCATATCTTATATGCTTAATATATTCTAGAGACTGTGGACTGTGCTAGAGCTCAATGAAGTCTATTAGGCACTTAGTAAATATTTGTAGAATGAAATATAGAAAGCACTCCTGGAGGATGAGGCCACAACTACTACAGTGATGACATAGAGCTCTTTTCTCAAGGAGCTTTGCATCTACAGGGCCAGACCATCAGCCACTGCACAGTGATAGGCTAGAGCTACTTAAATCCTTTCTCCCTGTGGTCAGAATTGACCTGAGAGATGGAGACAAGGTGTCCAGTTAGCTATTGCCATGGAACAAATTATGACAAAATTTAGTAGCATCAAGGAACAATTACTTTTACTGTCTCTCAAGGTTTCTGTAGATCAGGAATTTGGAAAGAACTTAGCTGGGTCGTTCTGGTTCAGGGTTTCTAATGAGATTGTACTCAGGTGATAGCTGGAGAAGCTGGAGGCTGGCCATACATCTCTTTATTCCTGTAATCTCAGGGCTGCTTCCTGTGGTGTCTCTGCACAGGTGAGTTGGGCTTCCTCCTAGCATGGCAGCCTCAGGGTGGTTGGACCACTTTCATGGTGGCACAGGACTCAAGTGCAGGTTTTACAGCAAGCAAAGTGGAAGTTGTATCACCTTTTTTTTAATGTGGTTAAAATCACGTAACATTATCTGGGCATGGTGGCTCATGTCTATAATCCCAGCACTTTAGGAGGCCGAGGTGGGCAGATCACCTGAGGTCAGGAGTTCAAGGCCAGCCTGACCAACATGGTGAAACCCCATCTCTACTAAAAATACAAAAACTAGCCGGGCATGGTGGTGGACGCCTGTAATCCCAGCTACACAGGAGGCTGATGCAGGTGAATCGCTTGAACCCAGGAGGCAGAAGTTGCAGTGAGCTGAGATCATGCCTCTGCACTCTAGGCTGGGTGACAGAGTGAGACTCCACCTCAAAAAAAAAAAGAAAAAGTAACACAAAATCTTCCATCTTAACCATGTTTTAGTGTATGATTCACTAGTGTTATGTACATTGACATTGTTAGGCATCCAATCTCCAGAAATTTTACATCTTGCAGAACTGAAACTCTATGCCCATTAAACAACTACTCCCCATTTTCCTCTCTCCCAAGCCCCTGGAAACCACTGTTCTACTTTCTGTTTGTATGTATTTGACTACTTTAGATACTTCATAGAAGCGGAATCATGCAGCATCTGTCTTTCTGTGACTGGTCCACTTCATCCAGCACAAGGTCCCTGAGGTTCACCCATGCTGCAGCACGTGACAGGATATCCTTTTGAAGGCTGGATAGTATTCCATTGTGTGTATATGCCATATTTTCTTTATTCATCTGTTGATGGACATTTGGGGTGCTTCCACCTGTTGACTATTGTGAATAATACTGCTATGAATACAGGTGTGCAAATATCTGTTCAATTCTCTGCTCGTTGCATCACTTTTTATGACTTAGCCTCAAAAGTCACAAAATAATACTTCTTTCAATGTCAGAAACCCACTCGTATTTAAAGTGAGGGAGCAGAGGTCCCACCTTTTGAGGTGAGGTGCATCAAATCCACATTCTAAGAGGAGCATGTGGAGTAGAACATACTGTTATAGCCATCTTTGGAAAATACAACCTTCCACGCAAGGATCCAGCTAGAAATGGAGGGGAGCAGTGGGAGGGATTAGGGAAGTGTTGTCAACCTTCAGAGGTTGGCATTCAGACATCTGCCATACAAATGAAGGTCATAGGCAAAGATCTTGCTGGCCACCAGGCTGCATCTTATACAAAATAGCACTCCACCACTTTCTATCTCCTTACCCTGCCTTATTCTTCATTCTTACTCTGATACCTTCTCCTCAGTACTTAATTGTCCAATTGCTTATTATATGTCCCTCTCCACTAGAATATAAATTCCAAAAGAACAAGAACTTTGTCTTTTGCTGCCATATACCAGAGTCTAGCATGGTAGCTGACACAGGGTACGCACTCGGTAAAATTTCATTAAATGAATGAATGGATTCGAGAACGATGAAAATTTGATTTAAGTTCTGTGTTACTAAGTGGAGCAGGGTCATCTGGTGTAGTCAAACCTGCACGTAACTCCTAGTCTCACCCCTTACTGTCTGTGTAGCCTTCAAGGAGCTATTTAAGAAGAGAAAAGGGTGGGTAGCAAGGTAGCAGATGCTGAAACTCATCATCAGTATAGTCACGGCCAATAGAAACTTGGGGTCAAGTGATAGAATATTGACCAAGGGACCCCTCAGAACCTGTGAAGTCCTGAAGTCCACCTCCCTCATTCAGCAGAGGAGAAAGCTGAGGCCCAGGGAAGTGATTATTCCTACCCAAGACCACATAGAGGCAAGACTAAAACTGGGGATCCAAAGTCCTCTGACTCATCAAACGATTGGGTCCATCAAAACTCGAGGTTGCAAGTGATAGAAATGTATCCCAATAACTAGCCCAGGCACAAGGAGAAGTTTAAGCCCCCCCGTGTTTTCTCATGAGTGCGGCAGATACCCTTATTGTCCTGCATCTCATCCCCTCACCCACACCTGCAGCTGTGATGAATAGCGTCACTTCGAGTGGACCCTGCCTCTGTTCTTCCACCACAAGACTTTCTCGAAAAGCAAAGGAGCCCACTCAGTCCACACTCATGTTCAGCCAGAGAGAGAGAGTAGTCAAAGCCCCCAAGGACAATTCTCAAACAAAGAAGAACAGGAGCCATTAGGCAAATGCCCCAACCTTCCCTCCTATGGGTGGACAATTCTGGAGGCTTCAATCGTCCCTGCAGAGTTGAGCCCCTTTAGCCTAAAGCAGTGACCTTGACAATGCACACTTGATTGACTGTTTCCTTTTCCTTGTGCACTCTCCCTATCTCTTCACACCTGCTTGCTGGGATCTCCTCACAAATACCTACCTTCCTCTGTAAGTCCTTGACTTGGGCTCTGCTTTAGGAGAAACCTAAACTAAGAGGTCAGTCTATTGGTGATGTAGTAAAAAATAGAATATGTCTTAGTTATGCAGATATTGATCATTAGGGATACAGAAGGTAGAGGTTGACTGAGATAACATAAATAGTGCCTAACCCCAATGCCTAACCATCATAGATGCTTACTCAATGTTACCATAGTTTATCTATTCTAAGACGCACCTGTCTTTCACATTTCAACATTTCTAAAAACAAGACATACCTTAAAATCAGCGAGATCTTACAACTATAATTGGCAGTATTTTTTTCTTCATTGGGGAGATATAAATATTGGATGCATCTTGCAATCATTGTCATTTTAGAGTCTTAGGTATTTTATAGTTCTCACTCAGTTTCTTCCTGCGCTGTGAATCAGGGAAATGAAATGAATTGTCAAAGTACGAAGGCAATGTGTGGAACAGAGCTAGTCAAAAGACCCATATTTCCCTAAAGCATGATAAACCGGAAACTCCCCCAGCCAAGAGGGAAAGAGACTAGGGGAGTCTGAAGGTCATCCAGGTATACGCTGAGATTCCACTCCAAGCAAATCAACAGAGACTGTGCTTCGTTCATCCTTAGCACCTGAGCACCTGGCTCAAAGTAGAGTCTAGAAAATGTTTGTGTACAGAAACAAAGTGAGTGGGATACCGAGATGGTCTGTCCTGCCCATCCCGGAAGCTCACTTAGGAGGTGGAGCAGGTAGGGCAAAGAATGGGGGGCACCTTTGGAACACCAGGAATATCAGTGTGCTGGTCCAACTAAAGAGAGTGAGCCAGTCCTTCGGTATGGCCTCTCACACCAGGGAGAGGCTCTCACTTGAATGGGTACGTGCTGGGGGCTACAGACCCCACAGGGTGTAGCTAACTCGCATTCACTTCATTGTCTACCCTTTTTTCTCACTTCATATGGCTCTAAGGGCTCCCCACACAGGGATCCCAGTACCTTTGTCTTTCTCCTTCTGGTTTGCAGCCTTTTCCCTTCACAGGTTTATCTGATGACCACAAGCACTTTAGAGTCTAGCCTTTAAACTTTTTTCTTCCATCAACACAATCACTCTGTGTCCCATCTGTTTAGGCTAAGACCACTCCATAACAAACCTTATGGATGCATCTGGCATTCAAGGTTGATAATGAGTTACCCCTGTGAAGAACCTTTATATCTTAGGGACATTCTATGCCTTAAGTTCATAATGACAAACATATGCTAAGTGTTCCATAGTGAACTCACAGGAGCACTGCAGGACATTTTAAATTTTTTCAAGGGAAGCCCAGACACATCTGTCAGACCCTAAACAAATACTACTATTAAGTTATTTGGACTTACTTAGTAAACAAAAGAGTTAGATATTTATTTTGGCTTGTTTCATGAAAGAAGTATTGAGGCACTAAATGTGCTGTAAAATAAAAAAAGTTTGGGAACTTATTTTCTTTCTTTTTTTTTTTTTAAATGAGATAGGATCTCGCTCTGCTGCCCAGGCTGGAGTGCAGTGGCAAAATCATAGCTCACTGCAGCCTCCACCTCCCAGACTTAAGTGATCCTCCCACCTCAGCCTCCCAAGTAGCTTGCACTACAGACATGCACCACCATGCCTGGCTAATTTTTTATTTTTATTTATGGAGAGAAGGGGTCTCACCTCTGTTCCCCAGGCCAATCTCAAACTCTTAGGCTCAAAGAATCCTCCCACCTCAGCATTCCAAACTGCTTGGATTACAGGTGTGAGGCACTGCGCCTGGACAAGTTTGGGAACTTCTACCTTAAACCAAAAAAGTAAGTAAGGGTAGCATTTGGAGCACCATAAAAGGCCTTGGGAAAATAATCGATGGGCCAAAGAACCCCTTCAGGAGCCCTAACTCACACCATGTAGGTAGGTGTCACTCTTCCTGTGGGTCAAGATCCCCAGCCTTGTCACCAAATCCCTAGTCCCATCTGAGGTGACACCTAACTTCAGGATTATCTGTCCCAAAAAATGCAATCTGACCATGACCCCATAAACAAAAAGGCATGTGCTTAGGAATTACGCACTTCAGTGGTCAGAGCTGGTAAGAGCCTGCCCTTTCAGCCCTTCTCATTGCAGGAAGGAGCAGGAAGCAGCAGGATCCAAGATCCATTTGCATATGGCCTGGCCTTCCCAGACCATGTTAAATGACCTCCCCTTTTCTTCTACTATGCAAATCCCATCTTTTCTTTAAGATCCAGGTATATAACATAGATATTATGTTTATTCTGAATCTGAATTCTTCAGTAAAATATAAGCTCCATGAAGGCAGGGACTTCATTTGTTCACAACCGTATAACCAGTACCTATAAGAATGCCTGCTGGCCAGGCGTGGTGGCTCAAGCCTGTAATCCCAGCACTTTGGGAGGCCGAGGCGGGCGGATCACGAGGTCAGGAGATCGAGACCATCCTGGCTAACCCAGTGAAACCCCGTCTCTACTAAAAAAATACAAAAAAAAAAAACTAGCCGGGCGAGGTGGCGGGCGCCTGTAGTCCCAGCTGCTCGGGAGGCTGAGGCAGGAGAATGGCGTGAACCCGGGAGGCAGAGCTTGCAGTGAGCTGAGATCTGGCCACTGCACTCCAGCCTGGGCGACGGAGTGAGAAAAAAAAAAAAAAATGCCTGCTACAAAGTAGGTGCTCAGTAAATATACTGAATAAATGAACTATAGTCCATGAAAGAATTAAGCCTTAATGTCCCATTTATTCACTATGTGAATTAACTTTTCTACTATGCTTCATG